CAGTGCCTCGCATTTTAGGAATTAACCCCTCTAAGTAAATGGTGCAGGGCACATTGTATTCTTATTATAAAGACTTAACCGCACAATCCAAAATTGCAGTCTGTGTGTGGATTTCAGTTTACCTAGAGTGGTCCAGCCGCCTAGAGTGGTCCGGTGGTCCAGATAGGCGGGGTATAAATGAATGAATGAATAAATAAATAAATAAATAAATATGGAGTAACCAGAAGCTTGCTCCACCTTGTAATTAAACTGTTTCCAGTAAATTATATAAGCTAGAATCTGTGTGATAATGATGAGCACATGGCAAGATAGGGGTGTTGAAAAGCTACTTATTTTGTATACCTTTCATGTTTATTCCATATGGGTATAGTGCAAATGTTTGAGAAAAATGCACAACTACTGTACACTTTTTACCTTAGGCAATCTTCAGCAATGTGTTAAAGACTTATACAGTATCATTTAAGATTTTGATAGTTATTCAAACAAATTATAAATTTAGCTCTCAGGATCACACTATGCCTCCTTTTGCTCTGTGCTAACAAATACTTCTCTATGTCCCAGCCCCCATTTTCAAAAAAGCATGGGTTATACAATATTCATGCACGGAAAGTATCTGAATCCTGGGTGTACGGTATCTCAGCTAGTTGTGTTTTCCAGGAAAGACAAAAGAAGGTCAGATTACAGGGATTCATCACACTGCAATCCCAGGCATTTAATGAGACTTAACCAAACAATTATGTTTAGTTTTGAGCCCTGCCCAAGCTCTAGGACATTTCCATGGGCCAAGCTACTATTTCAACATGTTTCAGGCAAGGGGATGCTGAAGCTTCATCACACCCCTTTAGCCATTTACATATTTGGGAATGGTATCTGGAGTCTCTTCTGAAGCTTGATAAACTTGCAAAACAAAAATGGGGAAAAATCCTTGGAAAATGAGCCCTCTCTATAAATCCTGTTAATTTTCATAGTTAAAGAGTTAAAATACCACAGTGGATGAAATTGTATTTTACACTGGAACTATGCTGTGTTTGTATTTGATATTGGATCAAGGCCTAGACGTTCAGCTCAAAATGAATTGGTTGCTCTTAGTATTCATCAGTAGCACTTAAGTGATGTAATGAGTAACTTTGCCCACTGGTCAGTGGGAATGAAGTGCAACTAATTTAGAGTCACATACCAGGCACATCGGACAAAAATAAAAAATATAAAAACAGAAAGTAAGGAGGATAAAAATATTGTGGCACCTTAAAGGCTAACTACTATATTTTAATATGAGCTTTCATGGACCAAGTCTACTTCCTCAGACTTTGACTTGGATGAAAGCTCACATTAAAACATAGCAGGTAATCTTAAGGTGCCACCACATTTCTCTCGTTTTTTTATTTTGCCTGATGCATTTCCATAGACTAACACGGCTACTTTTTTGAAAATGACCTCTCAGACACAGGTATCCTTGTGTGGAGTGTTCTTAAGGCTTTCACGGCTGGGATCTAATGGT